GTAAAATCAAAACCTCTTCCCTCAGTTCCCTTTAGTTTTCCAAGACTAAAGGGATGCTAAAACATCAAGCCTTCAAAGGAGTTCTCCCCATGAGTGTCCATGAATCCTGGACACCTAATTCCTAACACCTATAGTTCTCTGCTTGCATTGTTCACTCTTGTCTACATGCAGCTGTTAACCTGAGCTTTGCAGGAGTGGGGAAAGCATGGAGATTGCATTATGCAAACAGCCTCAGCTCGCTTGAAGCCTCAGGCATCACCATCTGTGTCTGATAGGCAAGAGGATGCCAGACACCACTGGAGCTGTTTCTCACCTTTTGAAAAAAGGGACAAAGGGTCTTTAATTAGGAAAAAAGTAACCAGAAGCCACTTGGGCTACAACTCACATGGGGCCTTTGCAGAAAGAAAACAAATGTATTTGCTGATGAATTATTCTGAGAGAGGAAACAAACGAAAGGATTCCTGGATAGTTATTTTCCAGAAATTAGGTCAGACCTAATTAGTTGCATAATTAATCGCCTGATTACCCAGCTAGTTAACTCTTAGTGATCTTTTTTGGCTCATGGTGTCAAATGCATACACGTATTTTTTACAGTAGAGGTGCCACGGTGCTTTACAAACTGCAACTCCAACGTCCTGAGTTCTGGGGCACAGCTTAGCACTGGTGGTGCTGCCCCCTAATGCTGTGTGATACGTGCAGGTTTACCTACAGCAACAAGGAGAGATGCCAAATTGCAATTACATATGTTGTGATTTGGCTGCCCTTCAAGTGCTCTTTGAGGTCTTCGGGTGATGACAAGGCTGATGTGAATGCAGGTCACCTGTTTCCTCCCTGATTTCTTATGACTTCACAGGTTGCCCTCCTCATGGAGGAAAACAGATCTCTTAAAACAGGACTAGCACCTATAGTCAGGGCAGTCAAACTGGGAGGTCTCTTTTGAGGGTCTGAGAATGATGACACTTGTCTACACAGGTGCAAAAGGGACATTGAAACCGAGACCAAAGGCACCATCAAGCCTGTGCCTTCGTTAATGGTGTACTGTAGGACAGACGCTGAAGCTGAGGAATAGTAAAGATGGTGTTAAATGTGTGGAAAAATATTCTGAGTGTTACCATGAGGTAAACAACACCTCCAAGTGAAAAAACAGAATACTGATGCCTTGAAAGCTTTTTCAGTGACTAATAAGTGCTTCAGTTGTGACTTTGGAGTAAAAAGATGCCACCATCCATGAAAGGAAGGGAAACTGATACTAAAAGTGGTGATTGTGGACAGCAGTGACTGTTGAAGGAAGGAAGGAAGAACAAATAGTCTAAGAGAAAGGTAATGATGGGTAGCAGGAGAAGCTGAAGCTGATGGAAAAAAACCCCAAACCTTAGTTAATTTAACATGGTTGAAAACACTCTGCCATGCCTGTGCCTCTCCTAGAAAAAAAGTCTAGTTCAACTCAATTGTTCGCCTAGTCCAGGCAACTTGGCTCTGCTGAGAAACAGTATTTCAGCACAGGTACAGCATTGAGGAAAACCTCTGTTTCTGGTGCCCTTGTTAAACTCGGTATTTGCGCAGCCTACTGCCATGTAGACCTATGCAGAGACCCCAAGGCAGAGTGAATCCTGTATTAGTGCAGACTGTAGTGCAGAAATGAAAAAAAGAGAATGGCTTTGGGCTTTTCCTTGACATGAGTTCTGACAGTCCTTGGAGCATGTTGGGATCCTTTAAAAACTGCTCTAATCTGGCTGTGCTTTTCTAGCTTTTGATGGGCCCACTTTATTGAGACTGATTCCTCCCTCCTCCTTCCCCAGTTTCTCCTGCTACACTTAGGGATGCCTTATGCCACCATGACAAGGCTAAAATGCAGATGACAATGTGGGAAAGGAAAACTGTATATACGCTATGTAAAAATAAGATTTTTCTCCCCCCCCAGCGAAATCCAGGGAATGTGTAGAGTCAGGGAGAGGGATCTATTTTCATCATCCTGATTTATGGAAGTCAGCTGGCTCAAACAGAGACTATTTCAAAGCAGAATGTCTTAAGCTTGGGAAAGGGCCAGTTATCCTCGCCACAGTCACTCAAACAAATAACCAAAAATGGGAGAGGGAAACTGGAAGGCAGCATAAGAATACATGTGCACACTGGTACAGAGAGCTATGAGCAGGCTTCTGATCTTCCAACTGCTGATTTCTGAAGAAATATTTCTAAGGGGTGTGGATTCTGTTCCTGCATGATTGCAGGTAAAACAGAACACACTTCTAAGCACAGACAGCATAAACCATCATTTTGAAAAGGACCAAGATGAGGTGAAGTTGAGGCAATGAAGAGTGAAGAGTACAGATGTTCAAGAGATACATACCTATCCATACAACATAGTCAAGAAAAGAAGAAACTGGGAGTATCTAAAGCTAATCAGGCATTTGTAGCTCACAAGCAGTACAAATAATTGCAATGCAAAGGTGACTGGTGATGGTCCAGTGTGGTGCCTGGATCCTTTTTTTTTCAGAGACAGTGTATACATGCTGTTTTTTATCAATCTTTTGCTTTTTTCCTAGTACAATTCTTCAAGAATGAAATAAAATATCCTGACTTGAATTTCCTTTAAAGTTTATCTCTCCATAGGATTTTCCCATGGAAATTTCTATTAGTTCCTGGGAACAATACTTCAGCCAAAATATCCCCTTTAATGCAAAATTTTAGCCACTGGATATTCAGATAACTCATCAGAAATGTCCATATTACTCAATCTTGCCCTGCAATCTTCAATCTACTCATAAATACAGTGTGTCCCCCCCATCTGTGCTCTGCTCTCATTGTGAATTTGCTAATTTTCCCTGTTCTTTTATTGTTGGGGGTACAACTTGATACAAAAGTCCAGATTGGGATAACAAAGACCCAGGTAACACATGGCAAAGTCTGTATAAGACAGAAAAAAGAAAATACAATATTTTAGTTATAACAAGGTTAAGTGAAGCATACATCTGATGAGTTGGGCCTGGAAACATATTTTTGTCTCACACAGCATCATTTCTCTTAGAAAACCAGTGCTTTATGAAAGATTTTCAATGGACTTGGGAAAGTGGGGGGTAAAGGGCTCCTCTGCAGCTTCTTAATGCTTGAAATCCATTCCTGAGTACTTTCATCCCTAATTAAAGGTCACCCACTGGTTCGAGAACAACTGTTAATGAAGAGTTTAATTATCCAGATGACAGCTATAAAATCCTACTCCTGTGCTTGAATATTTTAAAGCAACAAGGCCCACATTTTCAAATATGTGCTTGTAACCAAGTACTTAGACAAAAACTCTCACTGAAGAAGATTGTGTATGAGCCATTCACATTTGCATACACAATGGGAGATTGCATATGCCCACATTAAAGATGCAAATCTGTGAGGAGGTTTGTATGTGCTTACTTGACCGTTTGAACCAGACCCACCTTTCTTTTCTGTTCTTTCATTCAGGGAGGGGGAGGGATGTTTAAATTATTCCTTGAGGATAAATCATTTCACATTATTAACTCTTCTTAACAACAAAGCTGCATAAATTAAATGTAAGATTATCTGCTGTGTTCTCGGTGGAATGATTAGGAGGGAATCTACAGGAAAGAAATGTGGTCAAATGATTTGAAGACTTGCTAAATGGGATGCAAATCTCATCTTGCATTCTTAACAAGCTCAAATGTAGACCTGCCTTCTAATGAGCAAACTCTGCTTGGCATATCTGTGCAACCCCCAGAGCAAAGTTATAAAGAAAATGGATCATGGTTCATTTTCTCTACTGAGTCAGGTTTTTGCTTTTATTGACGCCTTTGACCAGCTGCTTCTATTACCTTTACCCATGGTGACAATTTCTGTGATGCTGCCCTTAGTCTGCCAAGCTGAAATGGTCCCATTTCTCATTTCCCATCACAAGATGAGTGTTTCTCAGGGAGGTCAGGTTTGGGTTCCCCACAAGGTACATGCCTGAAAGAATGATGCTTCTATCAAACAGATGAAGAAGTTGCTTATCATGATCTCACTGCCAGCACAGTCTCTTTGTATCACTGGTGGTGGCACCATAAGGCCAAAGAGAGTCATAATTCTTTAACTGGGCATTTTTGGGGTCTTAGTGAAGTCTAAAATGCAATGGATCGCCACATAAGGGCAGTGAAGAAAACCAGAAGGTATCACAATATTGTCTACTGTCAAGTGGTCTTTGGAGCAAGCTAGCAATGGGCTCCAAAACAAAACAACTCCAAGGTTTTTTCTGTGAGTTGGAGTTAGGCTTTGACTCAGTTTTCTTGTTACCTGTGGCCTCTCTCTCCTACATGTGTGCACACACAGACACATGCTTATTTGTTGGAGCAGAATACTCCACAAAATAGAATTTCAAGCCCAGGATGTAAGAAGGAGGGGAAAAAAATTAGAATGTATCACATAACAAGAACCATCTATATGTATTGAAAAGGAAGAAAATACCTTTCTGAGCTCTATCAATGGATAATATCTTATTTCATAAGAAATATGAATTAATAGAAGAGAGATTTGTTAAAAAAGACCCAAAACAGGTCAGTCTTAGTATGTTATTTGTTGAAGAGGTTTCAAACATACTTTTCTGTGCTTTGTTAACTCTCCAGGACTCTACAGGAGGGTTTTCTGTGCAGTGTCTCACCAGCTGAGCTTCATCTGTAGGTCACAGTGACCTGACTGTGGAGGCTGTGCCGCAAAAATGGAGCTCTCCAGATAAGCAGTAACATTTATTGCATACTTTGTCAGCATATCTCTGGCCATACACTTGTTCTCAAGACACTTTGTTGTGATATTGGTTTTATTAAAATGGATTTCAAAAAGGGAAATGTAAAACAGTTTAAAGGTTACAACATAAACATGTTGTTCAGTGCTGAGAAAATCCACACCAGACTTGTATATTACAAGTATGAAAAAAAATGTATCTTGCATTTTTTTGTTATACTGCTTTCTTCAAACAAAAAACACAAAAAATTCCTACAAACAGACCAATGTCTCATACACAGGTCACACAATGTGTCTCAAAATCTGGAAAATTAAGAATATTAAAATCCAAAGAAAAGTTAAAGTCAAGGGGTTCTAAGGACTAGAAGAAGGAGGTTTTTGTCTTGGCAACTGCACGGTCAATCTCCCATCTTTGGAGGTGCTGCCACAGCCTGAGTTGCCACCAGAGCTCCTGAGCAGCATGGGCAGGATGACATGTCCTCTTGCCTGGGACAAGGCAAGGTGTTCAATTATGCAGGTTCTATTTGCTCTTCAAGTATCAAATCTGACATCCTCTGGAGGAAGAGCTGTGGGCTAAGGTGGCTTCGTCCCTTTGGTGCTGATCTGACTCTGTACACAAGATACAATCCTGCAAGGTCTCTTTTCAGGGATGCTAATTTGTAAAGCATATTTAACTGCGTCCTAATTCTGCAAATGTCTGGGCAATGGGTTTGCACGAAGTAGATCAGATGTATCAAGCCCATGTGCCTGACAAGACTACTTACAAAACTGGCTTCTAGACTATCATGCCTGTGCTTTCCTGAACTACCAGGTCTCATCCTTGGCAAATGGACAGTGCCCAGGCAAAAAAGCGTGACGTGATGCACTACAAGAATTTTCCCTATTTATCAACAAAAATGGGGTAGTATTTGTCAAATAACACTCCTCATTTTTGGCCCAAGAATAGAATCAGGAGCCTTTTTTTAGTGTAACTAGAGTATCTGTCTTTTTGGAACATCATCATTCAGTCATTTCTATCAGGATGGGTTTTAATGGCTGCACACCATTGCACTATATATGATATAAAGTATTTGTGAAAAAAATCATTCCTTTGAATAATCAGAAGATCTTCCCAGAGATGAACTGTCTTTCCGCTCTTCTCTTTCATTCTTCCTTCCCCTGGATCTTGGATGGAGTGTTACTTGTGTAATCCCAAAACAACCCCCAAATCACACTCTTTTTTATCTCCCTTGTTTTATGCACTGGGGAGCTGATAGTTCCTTCCCCGGCTAGGACTGAATGAATAATCACCTCCTGTAGTTATTCACATCAGGTTCATATGCTGAAATGTGAAGCTGATGATGGGAGATTATGGATAGAAGCATCGAGATTTGCTACTGAAATTTTATGAGTTGTAGGTAGGAAATATTTAAAGCACATCGCTTTTAACCATGAAGACTCCAAAGATTTATAACCTCATGGGGCAAAACTGTGAACTGTTTGTGAGGGGGAAATGAAGCCCAGAATCCTCTCTTGGTGTTTTCTTTATGCTCACATATCCACACATATCCACACAATCAGCATGAGAAAATCCTACCCATCCCTAAATCTTTGATGTAATTTGGAATGATTAACCCTCAAAAAGTTTAATATGCAAATCATGTAAAAAGTCTGTACATTCATTGAGATCTCAGTAAAAAATCCTCTAAAATCAGGAAATCTGGATGTGGACACAAAGGATTTTTTTTTTTTTCTGAAGGGAAGGGGAAATCCTAAAAATATTTTACAAAAAATTAGGATTTCCCATAAACTTTTATACTTTTATTCAGAGTTTCAAAAGCCATACCTAGGTCCATTGTCCTTTACACAGGCCAGGCAGGTTAATGCACTAATATTACTGTATGGTAAACCTGCCTCTTGTATCATCTTACGGCAGCCCATTGGCCCATCCTGGCATATCCAAGGGGCCCAGACACACAAAAGTGAATTCAACCCAACTCCGTGAGAACAACTTGAGAGAACATCCTCCTTATTATAAGGGGTTTCTCCTGCCTTTGTTCTTGTGCTTTCTTACCTTGAAAACAAACCCCAAATCAAATCAACTTCTAGAGACAAACTTAGACGAAAAATGTTTCTCTGAGTCTGCCGATCTACATCAACACAAAACCCACCCAAAGCGACACTTCTGTGCAGAGTAAGGCAGGTCCATGCAGTGTGAAACAGAAAACATCAACATAGCTGGAGATGTCTTCTGTCCCTCTGCTGTGGTCAACAGAAATGGAAACAAGACAGGATATTCTCGTTCCGAGTAAGTCTGCTCAAGGAGGGCTTAAGTAGGCCTTCTGTCTCCTGCAAGCCCAGGAAGTACAATTAATGAAAAAGCCTAATTATTTGTCATTGTTATAACACACTTCACACAAAAAGAAATCATTTCTACACATTTTTTCTTCTTTCAATTGTATATAAACACTACTTAATTCTCAATAAGCAGCCAGCATCTTCCTAGAATGAAGGGAATCTCTGTCTGCATGGTGGGAGATACTGGTTTATGATCTAATTCTTTCTTAAGGTAATTCTATGAGAAGACTTTGGCACTTTGGTCTTCAAGAGCTGATGAAGATGATGTACCATCTCTGATGGTTGTTCACTGAACAAAAATAGCAAAGTGGAATTAATTGTTTCTTTCCTCATTAAACCTAAATTTACATGCTATGCTGAAGTCATTATTCAAAAGCACTGTTGGACGTGATTATCACACTGCCTCAGACACAAATACATGCAAGTGTTTCAGTTCAAGTGATTCAGAGGAACCAATGAATAAATAGGGCCATCACTGTTTTTTGATGCAGGAGGGCAATGACTGTTTCTTGTGTGGAAATTAGGAGCAGATGAGGAGGTCTCTGTTCTGTAAATCTGGGCTTGCATTTCACAGCAACCAAACTTGCTCAACAGAATGAAGAAATCCCTGCGGAAAGTCTTGGTGAAAATGGCGTAGAGGAAAGGATTAGCACAGGAGTTGATGGGGTAAAACAAAACCAGAAGGATCTTGGATTTGGACACTGTGATGAGAGGAACCTTGAGTGAGGCTGATATTGCAAAAAAGGATATGGGTGCCATGCAGAGGAAGTCTGTGAAGATTAGTATGGCCATGCGCTTGGCAATCTTGGTGTCACTGTTGGAAGAGATCACATTGGGGTTCCTCACAGTGGAGTAGATGCAGATGTAGCACACGCATATAATCACAAATGCGAGCACATTCAACACTAAAAGACATACAACATAAGCCTGAGAAAATGGTGTTTCTATATCCATGGGCAAACAGATGCTGACCTTCATGTAGCTGCTGACTCCAAATATCGGAAGAAGTGCTACTGTGAAAGCAAACAGCCAGCCAAAGACCATTATAATCACAGCGTGACGCAATCGAACCTTGCGGTGCAGCTGCATGGCATAGGTGATGGTGTGCCACCTCTCCAGGGTGATCACAGTCAGTGTGTAAACAGAGAGTTCACTTGCAAACACTGTGAAAAATCCTGCAGTATTGCATCCTGCCCCAGTTTGCCAGTCTATGGCGTAGTTGTAATACTGGCTTTTGGTCTGGATATCCACAGATGCAATAAACAACAGATAGATGCCTATGCACAGGTCTGCAAATGCAAGATTGCACATCAGGAAGCGAGGTACAGTGAGCTTGTATTGGCTGCTTATTAAAATAATGAGGACAACAATGTTCCCAGTGATAGCTAAAATGCTGATAAACCATATCAGGACTCTTAGAATGTTGTATCCCATGATATCTTCACATGGATTGAAAGCATCAGGTTTTGGTGAGCAAGCTACATTAACTATTTCGTTGCATAAACCGTAGTCAAAGTCATGCTCTGCTGGATCAAATCCTATGCCATAGCTTGAAATATAATCTTCAGCTGCCGATTGTATCTGTAGCTTTTCGCCAGGCTGCTCCTTAAGGTCTTTCTTGGCCTGAGACATGATACATATCGGATGTAATTCGGTGCTGAAATTGTAAAAAGAGTGGAGTTGGAAGCTAAGAGACACAGTGTGAGGTATACAACACAAAATCATCCAGTTTCCGTTAACAGCTCAGTTTTTCTGTTTAACTGATTATATAGATTACCTGGAGCTTGAAATTAACAGTCTGGCTGGTCCTTATTTATAAAATATTACAAGAACAGGTAAGTGATTTGGAAACATCATAAAATATAAGGGAAACAAAAGCCTAATGTTTGCCTAACACCCATGATAGAGTTATCCACCTGGATAACAGCCTCTCCGAGAAGCCTCCCTTATTTGAACTGAATTTCTCACATAGTCTGTCATTGATAAGGTGATTTGTGCGTGGGGGAAATACATGATGATGAATAGCAATGTAAGACTGAGCTTTGAAGAATTAGTCAATTCATCTGTGTTTATAAGGACTCTGTTGAACCACAATAATGCTATGATCCCTTAATATTATTCTCAAATTCCCTTTTTCCTAGAGGTTTTGACCATCACTGTGGCATAGTTCTGTAACTCCATCAGGGCACAGAACACCTCCAGTTTGTGCTGTTTATTTCTTAGTATCTCATAACATTACTGGCCAGTAACATAAGTAAATAACACAAATAAGCTCATGTAGGTTTCCAGATAATACCTAGAAGCCAGATGCCAACATGAACACAAGACATGGTAGACCATTTTGTTAAAAACTGTTCTTCAAAGAAAATGGATTAGAAAGCAAGTGAAGCAAAACCAAGCCAAGCCACACTAAACCAAACCAAATCAAACCAACATTTTAATGGAAGAAGTAGTTGCTTTTGTTTCTGCCAGCAAGTATTTTTTAAACACTCCAAGAATTTTTAGCAGCACAAGTAAATAAAGGAAAAGAGTTTCAAGGGAAAAAAAAGCCTTTGAAGGTTAAACTAGTATTTTTGATAGTTTTGTGTTTGGTTTTATTTCATAGAGTATTAGCTCTATACCCTTCTACATCCCTAAACAAACAAAAGAAACAAATATTTTGACTGAGATGATAGAAAGATGAGTAGGTCCATCAAGTTAAGAAATATCAAGATATATTCCTGTATAGACATGAAATGAAGGGTCAGACTTTACAACAGCTTATCCTAGGCTACCTTTGAAGTTTGCTGTCCCATAAACTTGCATTTTATAACTATGGATTTTATAATCCATAGTTTTGGATGCAGACCTAATCTGAGTTGGGAAATAAAGCAGGGGAAAATGTGTTGCAAAACCAACACAGTTCAGGTCTGCCTACATTCAGCTACAATCCAGACTGCAACTTAGGTGTAAAATTTCTAGGACAGGACCCCAGCTTATCTTCCACCCTGACTTTCAGTACAGTCAAGAGAAGAACTCTCTAGACAAGTTAGGTTGAAAATTTTGAACAACTGGTAGTGGCTTAAAAGGGAGAATTCTTCTTTGTAACCTAATTTTACCCTTTGACTTTGTGCACTCACTATATCTTCCAAAAATTGAGTTTAAAAGGTCTGCAAGAAAGGAAAACTAATGAAGGCCCAGCACCAGAAGGTGAGAGACATTTCCTATGAGGTTCTGAACATCCTCTACCATTATCAATATTTTTTATCTTGCCTGTCAACTGAGGTAGAAAACTGATTTTCTGTGAGGTCAAATATGCACTATGAAGGTCACAATAGCAATAACAAGGCATTACATTTTGCTCCCCTGTGTTCTACTCGCATAAGGATGAGTGAGGGGTCCACTGTATTGATCAATATATCAACAGTTCTCTAGCTGAAAGGGAATATAGGCTTCCAAGGAGCAATAATGGGACAGAAAGTCCCTCATTTTTCGTGCAACAATCACCCAGGGGTACTGCAATTGGTGGTTCTTCGTAAATGAACTGAATGAAATGTTTGTATCCAATCATTTCTCAGCATTAGTTAAAAGTAAACCTTTTCCCAAATTACGGAGGCACTGCCTGGACCTAAGTCTATTCCCTGCTACGTAAGGCCAATTAAATATTTCTGATTATTACAATTTATTAATTCTTGAATTATTTTACAGCCAGTGGTCCCACGTAGAACCAGGGTCCCGTGGAGTTAGCTGCTGTGTTTGCTCCGAGGAGGGTGACAAGGCTGGTTACCTGTACTGTGAGCAGGTAAGAGGGGCAGCTGCGATATCCCACGGGAAGGAAGAGGCATCCTCTGATACTGACCCTTACAATATCTTTGCCCTGTAATGTTTACTCCTTGGACTGTGCAGTGCATTCAGAGCAACAAGTTAAAACCTTGTTTGCCAAGGGATGGGTGGGTCCTTGCCTCCTTTTGAGGCTGTGGGTATTGTAATACACTCCACTTACGCACTCTGTAAAACTCTGTTACTGTTTAGCATTATTTTGCTCAAGTAAACTAGAAAAATAAACTAGAGAAAAGACAACTTAGAGAATAAAATTGAAATTGACAGAGTGCTCTGACAAAAATAAACAAAAATTACTACCTTTGTACAAGTTGTTATTTTATGTGCTTTGTCTGGAACTGGTGACAGCAGGATTTTGTGTGCTGAGAAACATGCTCAGCAGAACAAATAGTCTTAACCTAGGTTCTGTATTAAGCCCTATCTCAAACCAATCATTCTCACCAAAAGGTGACATCAGGTGAGTTGTGAGCAACTGATAGTATGTTCTCATGAGACAAGGCCCAAACATGACTCCTGATTCTGCCACATTTTTTGAAAAAGTAGGATTTCAAGTGACAGGTCCTCCGAAGAATAACGATCAAGTGTAAGGACAGAGTCATATCAATGTCATTCTTTCTGGCAGAAGGCGATCTTTATGTCAAAGAAAGCCAAAAGCTTACTGAAGTTCATAATGGTATATGTCAAGTTGAGGGTTTTAACATCCAACCTCTGCCCTATCCACACTTCAAGGATATTATTTTCCAGTCACAGAAAAATGTGAGGGAGTTCAACATACTGTACCAGACTTAAGAATGTAGCTTACCTTCTGTTAGGCCAGCATCACAATATTCAAGCGTGATCAATTCACAGATCAATATTTAGCATATAGTCCTTATGGGAATGGGAAAAACATCAAAATTGTCTTAAAATTTGTATCTCAGACTGGCAGAGCTTGATTTGACCTTCTCCAAAATTTAGAAAGCTGTAACAGGTTTAAGCTTCCCATTATCACAACAGTATCTGTTCTCTGGCGCAGACAGATTTGGGAGAGGTGACCAAGCAGGATTCGCTATGGCAATTTATTTTTTCTAAGAGTTCGAGTGCTGCAAAAGTGTCAAAGTGGGAAAATTTAACATAAACTGGCAGCCAGAAAGGGGCCACACATCCCTGTTTTAATTCCTTCCCAGAGTTTCCATGTGAACAGCAGCTGCTGCTGCGATCCTTAGAAATGCACTTCTGGGGGTGATAAGGCATCCTTTTTATACTCCCTGGACTACCTGGAAGTGTTCTGAGAGCCAAATAGTCACAGAATACTGATTGTCTCCTGTGAAGGTGCATGACAAGTCAGGACACATCATGGTTCCCACCACCACAAGTGATGCTGCAGGACTGAACCAAGCACAGCTCTTGCCAAAAAAATATTACATGTTGTGTGATCAAGCACTATACAAACTATCAATAACTTTTAAACATCCTGAGCAGCCTTCAATGCACTCACAACTTGTGCCAGCTGTCATGAAAACTGCTTTGAAATGAAAGCTGGTGTAGCTACTACATGTGTGACTCATCTCTTTTGACGTGTATTGTAATATCTTCAGTATTCAAACTGAACACATGTATCCATTTTCTTTAAGCTGGATAAAGGATGTTAGTTTCCCACCAATTTTAGTACAAGACACATGACTGTATGAAAGAAATTACCATTTTTAATTATGTTAAAAAGCAGCTAACAGAAAGGTTCTAGTAAATTTCTATTTATGCTTAATATTTAGTTAAAAATACATCTGGTAGCTATTAAAGACATATATAAATACATTCAATTTTGTTCTGTTGACCAGGGTGGTACAGTTCACAGGCACATTCATTCAAGTAGTCCTATATCATATGTCATAAACAAGAGCATCTCCAACTTACGTATTATTTCTCCCCATTGCATTACACCTGATACTATAGGAGACTGAAGTTGTGACCAAACTTCTCCAGAAGCAGCCCCACCACTGCATGGTACTCCAGCCCAGCTTGTTGGCCATCCATACCTGGATTGTGTGAGCTCTGCACAGGTCTGTTGGCATTTCTTTGCAAAATTATGCTTACCCGAACTGTGGAAAGCGATGTTTTATGTTCTCCTTGGCTTCTTGCCTGCCAGGGTAAAGGCCTCCAAAAGAGGGACTATACAAGGGGAAAAGTGAGTGTTGTGGTCTTCAATTCCCTGGGACGAGTGTGTGACAAGGAAGTTATTTTAAAGCCCAAGTAAGGGGACTAGATACTGGCAGCTTACCACATGATCAGGACTGTTTCCTCCTGTAGCCTTCCTTCAATAGCAACTCTTACTTTGTTTTTGAAAAGTCCAGTTGCTTAATTTAAGGGGTGGATTCTGTGATTTGGGTCCTGCTTAGACCCAAGCAGCTCAGAAGCCAAGTACCTTCAAAAATATGAATCACAGTGACATCAGCATTCCTTTGGAGATTCAGGATTAAACATGCTTTCATTGGACTCATTGGAATACACCACTTTGTCATCAGGGCTGGAAAGACTGGACCCATTCCTACATATAAGTTACTGAACACTGTGTCTGCATAAGACTGCACAAGTATGTGAAAACATCTCCTGCTGATAAATTGTTTAAATTGTTCTAGTGAACAGTTTAGCATTTTGGAACAAAAATGGAAAATGGGAGATGGATTCTGTCAGATACTTCCCTTATCCCTGCAGTCTCCAGAACCGCACTTGCATTCTTTATGCAGACAGTTTTGCAAACACATGTAGCTGATATTTATTGGCTATCAGCACAAGCAAACTCAGTTATCTTCCATTGTTTGGTGACAATACAATGCTAAAAGTAAAATAAATGGCTATCTTAAGTGTTAAAATAGAAGTTACTAACAGTTTATGCTTTTTCTGCATGGTTTTACTGTTCTTTGAAGTTTTATGCAACTTCTGAAGATGATGTCTTGATTTATGACAATGGTTCATGACTTTTTTTTTTTTCTGCCATGGCAAAGTTCAAGTCTTTCAGGACATCCAGTAAAGGAAGAACTTCAAACAATTACAGGGGTTTCCATAGGTATCAGCCATGTTTTCCAGTGACACAAATTCAGGAGGCTCATTAACTACTTGAAGTGTACGTTTCAAGACCGCCTGAGCAGGTGAAAATACTCAAAAAGAGTCATTGATACCTGAAGTCTCACTGCAACTCACTAATAGAAAATTAAAACAAGCATGGAAAATTACAACCGGAGTCTAAAAAGACACCATACCCTCCCACAGTCCCTCTGTTGATTTGGGTAAAATGGATCTGCTCTAGGTTAACCATTTCAGAAGTCACGTCCAAAAACATTGTCGATGTCAACTCAACAGATAAGGTATCTCTGATGCTTGGCTTGACAGTGTTCCAATATCAGTGAGGCTTTCTGAGAGAACAGTATTTTGCATCACTCAGTGGTCCTGTTACCCTCCTGAGTCGATGGACAAGTATTGACCAGCTTCTCTGCAAACACAGCTTTCTCTCCAGCTACCTCCTGAAAAGTTATCAAGCTTTTTCTGTTTAATGTTTTCAGCATGGTTCCAGGCTGATCCAGGACAGCAGATCCAGTGAAACATGGACCTACAACAGGTGGGGACAGAGCTGCAGCTGGGGAAAATACTGATGGTAAGCTAACACAGTTATTAGAATTTAACAATTCCCTGTAATGTGGAGGCAGTACACTGTGTAGCATGCAAACACCTGTATGTATTGTGTATTTATTTATTTCTATCCATTTACTTACCTGCTCTAAAGAGACATTTTCTATCCAGACTTTGAGGAATTTTATTTAATTTACTATCAAATGCTGAAAAGCGCCAAGAAGAAAAACAAATTAAATCACTTACTTTTGTCTTTTCCAGTTTGTAAATGCACAGCAATGGCTAGGATACGTGAAGTTTGCTTCAATCAAAGATCTAAATTTGCTTAGATCAGGAAGCTTTTTTAAATTGTGTGTAGATCTTGCTCTTAGCGTCTTAATGAGTTCTAATCCATGACTTGGCAGGAAACTGATTTTCGTGCTTGAAATATCCCTTTAAGAAAACAGATGAAAATCTTGGTAAAAAGCAAATTTACTTCTGCTCAACAAGGGACTGTCCTACTCATTCTCAGAATAGTGGTTGGAAACAGATCACCTGGAAATCTACACTAAAAAGAGGATCTGGTGAAAAATTAGGGGTTCCTCCAGCAAACTGAACTAATATGCATTGCAAACAACAATCAAATGTTGTTAGTCTGTGAGAAATAAAGAAAAAATTCCCATAATGTTCTGGGTAAGAATTAACAGGGACACAAACCATTAGCGCCATATGACACTGGGTTTAGTAAATACCCAGTAAATGCAACAATCATCCCACAATACTCTTACAGGATAAAAAAGGCTGATGAAATCGCAGTAGAAGTTTGCTGTATGATCATCACATCATGGGAAGGCTGTTGTGGAAAAAGCAATAAACACAAAGAAAGAAGCTCACATGGGGGTACAGATGTGAGGACAGGTTGGGTATATCAGGTTTTGTGCTCATTAGAAAGAAAAGGAGATTAAAGACACACAGGGGTGACATTGTTCAGACTGTTAGGAACAAAAAAACCAAACCAACAAAACATTCCCAGAGGTTTAAAAAACAAATAAAGCACAGACTGAAGCAAAGAATGGGACAAGATTACAGGAGGTTAGGAGATGTATTTATGTGGAAGGCAATTACTGTGTTGGACAGGCTATCAGAGGCAGCGATGAAACCAACACCCATGAATGTATTAAAGAGACCATTAGAGGGGCTTTTAAAAGGAAACACATTCTGCAAACACTAAATCTTGACTTGTGGCATGCAGGGAAGAAGGACCAAGTGTGCTCCATCTCCAGGCTCAGATATTTGGGAATCCTTCCCCATAGCTTCAGGGTGTAACAGCTGGGGCAAAACGTCTCCAAATTTCCCTCACTGGGACACAAACTGTGTCCCTTGGATCATGACAGCATGAGAACACACTTCTTTCTCTTAAAAGGTAAAAATGAACTGCACAAAATCACCCTGTCCTCCTCCCTTAGTCCTTTGTGCTCTCATGGGCTGAGACTGCTCCAGGATACAGTGTTTGCTGAGGCTACTCTGCTCTTAATTCTCCAAGAAAAGACAGAATTTTTCCTTAATCAGGGAATTAAACTGACAATATTTGTAGTTTTCTCCGTGTCCCCTTGAAGATACAGTTTTCAATTCATCTGTAACAGTATAATGTCAGGACAATATGTTATTTGATCTCTATGACCCAACATGCACAAATTGTTTTTATTATCATTTTAATACAGTAGAGTGGTGTCTTGTGAGGGGGAGACCAGGTTTTAGCAGCAGGTAATGAAGTTTAGACAGTTCCTATGTACCATACACACATTTGCATCTCTGTTCTCTGGTTTAAGAAACAAAATTAATGCCAGGGAAGGGCTCTGTTTGAACTCTAGCCAAGCCTAACAAATTCACAGGCAGCTGATAAAGTGGTTTGTAAAATTGGTGTTGGGTAAAGATGATGTGTCCATGCTGTGCCTACATCCAGGCTCTAAAGAAATGTACCACCTTCAACAACTGGACCATGAACTGTGGCAGCAGAGGAGCAAACACAGACTCCACTCCACTGCCCTGACCTGGGGCCATAATTTCTACTGGAAGGGAAAATAGACCAGTGTATTCAAAAATGCTATGAACTTCTGCAGGGCAGAATGAGAGAAGCCTCACTTCTTACAGAGAGGGCTCTGAGATCCTGGGTCTGTTTCTTACAGGAGCTGAAAACAGCAACCAATGAGAAATTTTAGGCTATCCGTTTCTGACTTGGACTCTTGAAGAGGTATTTAGGTTGCCATGAGCAATCTTGATTTTCACATGGGCTGACTATTGCCCTCAATGCACTGCCTAATGAAAACTGTCACCCAGAGTATATGCTCACGAGCCAACAACTAAACAGCAGTTTTCTGCCTAAATCCACAGACAACATCACTCGTGGCGTCATTAAGAGCATGTGAAACTTCATAATTCTGAAAAAGAACATGGAAAATGTTTTCTTTGGCTTGTTAGTTAAAATCGTTACCAAATCCAAACTGTTACTACAATGAGTGGAAATAATGAGCAAATACGAATAGGAATACCACCTGGACTTACAAATAGCAAAAAGGTTACTGGGTCTCTCATAATCTCGAAATAATTTCATAAATATTAAATATTTTTTCCACAAAAATATTTTATTCTTATTTTAACAATTTTTCTTTTTATGTTAATTATTGCACATAAACAGAATTCAGTTAGGGAATTTGATTTGCGAACTCCTGCAGGGGTTTGTTGGTATGTCTGTGAGGGATAGTTATCAATAGACCACTGACATGCCCCCAAACAGCAAACATAGACATTGTGAGGGTGGTTTAGTAACTTACTCCACTGAGTTACCACACAAAGACTTCAGTGCAAAAGTTCTTTGGGATGTTGCTCTCTAGTTAGAGGCTTGATAAGTTAAATAATCATGATGAACAAGATCATAAAGTGGCAATAGGAAATCAAACCACAAGGCATCATCAATTGGAATATTTGTTCCTGTGTTATTTCTGCTTGGCTGTTAGTCATCAGCCTTGACAGCAGCTGGTGCAGGAACAGGAAAATGAATCTGACTTCTCTTCCAATCACTTCCCTTTCCACTGGGAGTCTCTGTTGGATTAGCAAAAATACTGACCAGCTGATGAGGTTTGAAAGGCACATACAGAAATGGTGGGAAATAGCTGCTGGAGCAGAAAGCAGAGGGCGGTAAAGTGGTCGGTGAGAATTTTCTCCATGTATCTAAACTGATCTCTGGCTGCACTTCAGGGACTCAGCTGTTGAGCTGGGGATCTACTGGAACTCTCCTGTAGCCTCCATAGGTGGGTTTCCCATTGAAGACAAATTTCAAGGGTAGGATGGACCACTGCCATACCATGCCTTGCATCGAGTCAGGACATAGTCAGAGAACTAAGGACACCAGCAAAAGCTGGTGTAAGCCACTACAGCTCTGAGAGCAGCAGAAAACAATTAAATGAAACAATATGGCTGAAAACTGAAGCTATGAAACTCCAAGCTGGAAATACAGTGTATTTCTGTATAGAAGCAATATGTATAGGTGTTGGATTTATTAGCGGCTGGATTTACTTGCCTACTGTCAGCATTGAAATCTTTTAATTCAAAACTTGATGTCTATCCAAAAAAGATATTCTAATTTAGCTAAGAGCTGTAAGTCTGAGAGAGGAATTGATTTGTGAAACTCTGTAGTCTGTACAAGGGCTAAGATTGGTGCTTTCTGATTATTTGTGTTCCTTTCACATTATTTTAATACGCTGAATTATAAAATAGAAGTTGAAACTAATTGACTGTAGAACACTGGTTTAAGAAGGTCAAGAGTTAAACCCCGCGATGTTCATTCTAATAAAACATTGCAGTCTGCAACATGGATTTGATTGCAGCAAAACTATTTCTCCCAGCAAAGATATGATTATGGGTCAATCATTCCACAAGTGAAAGTGCATCCCTGGTGTACACTACGCTGATGGATGAGCAAGAAGGCTCTTCTTTCATGATCTCATCCAGGATAAAAAGGTAATTTCCCATCCATGGAATAGTGGATGTATTGGTAATGGAACAGAAAACTTTTTACGCAAATAACTCAGTGTTAGAAATTGAACTATCAAATGAATCTCAACCACAGGCAAATCAATTTGATAAACATTCAGAATATGACTGTATCAGCTATAGCTTGCAAAGAAAATGCATTTACTTTTTGCTACAGGAAACAATGATTTTTCTAAGAAACATCTCTGACATTACTGATGAAAAGATGCTCCACTGGTAGTCTTTTCCAAAGAATGAAGACGCTTTTAGGAAGTGAGGGAAGTGAAACAGAGTGCAGTAACCCACACCATAGCTCTTTATATCATGGGTGCACTGGCCATCACAATGTGGAAACAAAACGCCTTCAGAAAAGCTCTGGACTGAACTCAGGGTTAATCAGACATTTTTCTCCTTCCATTTTAGATTTTTAACCACTCCAACATCTGTGTAAAGTCTTGCAAGAGCTCCAATGACCCCTTTCACTTTTTCTGGGTGACTTTTAGTCCTCTCTGGGTAAGCGGGATAGATGGGAAGAGAGAAATGTTCTGACAAATGGGTGAGACAAAAAAAGGCTCCTACATCTCTGTTGCAGCTCTTACATGTTGTGGCTTGAGCTCAGGAAAACAAGCAGTTCTGCACAATCACAGGCATTTTCAGACCCCATGGCAAACCATGGTTTGAGATAATGGTTACTGAGATTCCTGAGCATCTTACTGCTGAATTCTCTACTGCTGAGATCTCAATTTCCATTTCATCACCCACCAAAGACATCCTGTTGTAACTGCGTGGGATGTGTCTCATACCTGTCTCTACAGGAGATGGGACATCCCAGTCCCTAACACCGTAGATAGGAATTTTTCTTTAAAATTAAGCTTCACAGACACAGGGGAGATCTTCAGTGGCAAGTAATCCAGATTTAAGCGCTGAGAACCACTCACCTATTCTTCATTTTGCTCAAACAAAAAAGCAAAAACATTTTTCTCTGGAAAAATAACCAAAAGCAAAAGCACTACTCTCTTACACAGTTTAATCAACCATGGAGAGGAATCTTAATCTAAATTTCTCACTCGAAATACTTCAAAAACTTGAGGACAAAGTGAAAATAAGGATCTAGACTGATTTTTTTTTTTTTTAATATATTCAGAACTACGTCTCGTTTTGAAGTTCAAGGTCTGTGAGATGTTGAAATCCATACTGGCATTTGTATGTTCTTCTCTGGTCTTTTCTAGGTAGTCAATAATGAGAAAAGTATTGTCCAAATATTACTTACAAAACAACAGGTCCATTCGCTCCCTGGAAGACCTCATTTGGCAATTTTTCTAAGTTGTGATTATCACTTAGATTTCTGAAAAACACAATATTTATGCTGAAACAATCTGAGATAAAAAAAAAAAATAGATCTTACAGAAGTTACCATCTTCTAATTATCACTTTTCAGAATAGTAAACAACAGAAATAGTTACAGCTCATCCAGATATGTTCCATTAAATGCATGATTCTCAATTTCCCGAATTCCATTTTTATTTAGCCATCTGTAATAGAGAAAAGAAAAAGAGAGCTGTGTTCTTATTCATCCTTCATGACTAAAATGTATGTAATTCAAAGCAGTGAAAGGGATCTCAAGCAAATAAAAATGTTAAATGGATATTGAAACAGTGAAATTTCTATGAATACTGGCTGGTAAAATCCCAATATTTGGACAAAGACTTTGGAGAGCACAGACATGAATAGGGCAGATGAGTGCTACCATCAGAGATGACAGTTAGAGTAAGTTTCTGAAGTAAGGACAGAGCTGGTGAAGATGCTGGCACTGCTCATGGCTCCACTGGGAAGGCTGCAGAAGAGCTGGTGTGGCTGTTCCAGGTTAATCCCAAGAGGGATGAGACCAGGATCTTTCCTGTTGGCGCTGTCAGTGACGCTTAGTTTTACTGTTTAGCAAGACTCTTTTGAAACTCTGAGCCATGGCTTAATCTTTGCCAGCTATTAGAGAAAAAAGACTGCTGTTTGCCATGGTCTCACATGCTCAGCCAGGTAGGTGGAGGAGGGAGACTGACTGTACTGAGCCAGGCAGGAGGGCAGAAGGGGGGTGGCAGTGGTGCCAAACTGCTGTGGAAAGTGGGTGATTCCTGCTGCGTCTGCTTCCTTGACAAATTATACTCCCTGCCTGCTCTGTTGCCCCAGTCCCACCTCCCCAGGCTTCTTCCCCCAAAAGGAGACACAGGTAATGAAACTGGGAATTGATGCTCCTGGGGCTTTCTGCCAAGTTTTTACTCCAGTGCATTACCTAATTAACGTTTAACGTCCTTCCCTCTGTCCCTTCACGGTCCTAAAAATTTACATTTGGGTCAGTTATATTTATCATCTTTATGGTGCAATCTTTCATCTCACTTTAAACGTCACTTTGCAGCTCACGCCCTCTCCAACAGGCAATGACAGGTCTGATTGATGGCAGAAATGGCCTGATTTAATTAAACTGTCAGCAAACTTGGACATTTTTTTCCTAACTCACTTTGAAAGCTGAGTATGCAAGTGACCCACTTATCTAAGGTCTGAGGTGGTGAACTAAGGTCAGCACGAAAATCAGTTAAGGGTCTGGCCGAAAGGATTACTCTTTTGACCATGACAGGCAGATGTACACAGCTCTGTGTCTATAATATCTGTCAGGTTGGATCAGGAGAACTGTCACCGTCCCCTTCACTTGCAAGCACTATTAGACATGAGTGAGCAGGCACAGAGGAGAGACGTGTCCCTGCTTACAGCATTTAAAACATTTATTATATTAAATTGATCCTACCCATTTGTAGCTGCCAGGCTGATATATATGTTTTTAATCACAGTATTAGCACTTAGCTGCATTCTCTTACTGAACATGATGCTAATGCAATGAGATACTAAGGTCGTAAAAAAGAGTCACTATTGCCATACAGGGTGGACTATACACTCCTGTCACCTCTCTAATAGCACTGGAATAGTAAAAAGGGCAAAAAAAAAATTACCTAAATCTCAAGACCTCATTATAGCACTTATAGACATGCTTTTCTTGAGACAAATTCTTTCCTCACTTCAACCAGCATTCTTACTGACTCCAGTAAATCTTATATTAGCAACAGGTGACAATGGAGGAAAAGATCCAGAGCTTGGATATAGGGGCCTTTACTTACCATTTCATGGCTATAGCAGGCTTTTAAAACAGGCTTTAAAATTCTCCCACTTCAGGAGGTCACTGCCCCTGAGGTACCATTAACACACTATTTCAGGGCAGGAAAGACCTATCTTAGAGCCTATGCAGACCTGGTAGCAAGGTGAATTTCTTCCATAAATTTCTAGCACTTTATTATCATATGTATCCTCAGTTCCCACCTGTGCTGATCCCACGCATAGCATGAGTTCAGATGCAATCCGAATTACTGGCTTAAATAAGTTCGGAGCCCGTCACAGCTAAACCTATTAAAATTGTTTCTCTGTAGAATCTGGGGGTTCAATGGATTCTGGGTAATTTTAATCATCTTGACATGTCAGGTTTCACTAAATGATGTTTAACCAAAAGTTCCTGCTGCATTGCTGTGACTTCAGTTTTGAATAGAAAATTGGCAAATTTGGGTCTAAAATGACCTAAGTTCACCACAGCACAAGGAAAACCTAATCAGGGACTCTGAAAGGGCACGCGCAGGGCCTCCGTCCCAGAGCAGAACCACAGCAAAGTCAGGACATCACCTGACCAGGGTGGTGGTGGCCAGGTCTGCTTGCACAGCCCTTGCTGCTCTTGCACACACTGGTGGGTGCTGGGAGCTCATGGCAATGGGGCTGTTGAGGAGACAGGGCAAAGCAGCTGGAAGTGGACATGATACATCACCAGGCCAATTTTGCTAACGAACCAGCAGCCTTAAGTCCTCAGAAACAACTATCCTTCAATATCCAGTCAGTAATTCTATCATAGTATCATAGAATAGTTTGGATCGGAAGGGACCTTAAAGATCACCTGGTTCCAAACTCCCTACTGTGGACGGGGACACCTTCCACTAAAACAGGTTGCTCAAAGCCCCAACCTGGCCTTGAACACTTCCAGGGATGGGGCACACACAGCTTTTTTGGGCAACCTGTTCTAGTGCCTCACCACCCTCACAGTAAAGAATTTCTTCGTGATATAAGCAATGAGACATTCTGGGGAGAAAAGAGAAGTCAATTCCATCTGCTCAAGTGGCAAAGAGAGGTCAAAGCACAGCAAAAATCTGGGATATGTTTCTCATCCCTTAGTGGTATTATGGAAATACACAGTACTTGTTGGGCAGTGCTCTGAAAATACAAAGTCCCACCTGAGCAGCTAATATTATCATTATAGGAGAGAAGATGAACCAGTGTACTTGCAATGTCATTGCTTGAATATATATTTGGGAAACCTTTGTGTGTATGGGTCTGTGTGTCTGTATTTAAAACTTCAGAACTTGAAGTAGACAGAGGTTGTGCATAACTGATGGGGGAAAAGGAGAGAGAAAGCTAAGTGACCTGCTACTGGCCTTTCTTCAATTATTGATGATCTGACCTTGCTCCCACCAAAATCAACGTGAGCCCAATCAGTCAATTCAAATCTTGCTTGTCTGCTTCAGTATGTGAGGTAAACCACACACACAGAGCGGGAAATTTTTCCAGTCTGGCCACTGCGTAGGTGAAATGAAGGCAGCTTGTTAGCAAGGAAACAGTATGTTTTGATATACAGACAGAAAGGATCAAAGAAGCCAGCTAGTTCATTAAAATACATGACTGTTCAAGTCAAATGTAGAGTCATCTAACCATGCAGCTTGAAACTGCATTATGAACCAGCCTGTATCAATGCATTAACATTGCATACAAATATACCACATTTCCACAACATCTACATATGTTTTGTCCAAGTAATAAACGTCTGACTGTAAATATTTATGAGTCATGCCATCCTCTTGAACACAATTTGTATCACATGGACTGTTGCTGTAGGTGTTTAACCTTGGCATCAGTAATTACTAAATTTGCTCTCTGCTGTGCTTTTAAAATAAAGAGTAGGACTAGAACACAACAAAAAAACCCCAAAACATTATTTTTTTCATGTCAGGAAAGCAGAATACAGAGATCTAAGGGGCAGGGGAGAAATCTAAAACATCAAATTGAATTTGGAAGTGTATGAAATAGTGCTCAGCTCCTGGTTTTGGAAATGAGGTAACAAGGAGAATAATGAATTTTCTATGTCTACTCACAGAATCACGCTTTCAGAACTCAGGCCCATGAATGAGTTTCTTTCAATTACTCGTATATTGATATTGTCTTGAATATCTCTGAAAAATAAAATACATTAGAAACTACATCTTTTTGTACTTCTGTGAGCCTTTCAATACAATATGCTGTTTCAAACACAGTATTTTCCCTTATATTCAGTCTGAGGAAGTACTATAGGCTGAGGGTAATGATGTAAGTTTTCAAGACTTTTTTTTGCAGAGCACAAATCTTCCTGATAAAAAAGGCTGGAACAAAACCTTTCCAACACCCCCATACTTTCCTCCCAAATAGACTGAAGTCATTAAAATACATAAAAGTGCAGGTCTATAACCCTGAGGTGGATGAAATAGTTCCTCCAGCAAACCTACTACCCAGAAAATGCAATCTGAGGGGCTGTGAGGCCACCCCTTCTCACAGCCTCCCAGCCAGAAGAAGGAAAACCATTAGCCTTTTTGGCCTGATTCAGCAGGGTACCTACCAGCCCATGAATCATTCCCCTGCTGATGTCAACAGGGTTGCTTATAAGCTTTGTATATGCTTAAGAACTTAAGACACAGAGCCCTACCAATGCAGTTGGCTGAAAGTAGGAATTTCCGTCTTTCGTCAGTTGTGGCTGATACGAAAAAAGGAACGTTCTGTTGCTGGCTCAAAATAGGCCTCAAAGAAGTTAAATAGTATTACTCATAATTTAGACTGGGGATATGGCTGTTTCCATGCTGTTTCTTTTGGAAAGCACAGAATGAAATTAATTGTCAGCAAAGCTTGAAATTAAGCGTGGTTCCAAAATTATCTCATGCTGACAGTTCAATGCAGCCACAACTCTTTATTAGGTGACACTTACAGAGAGGCTTCATTCTGCAAATTGAGGTCAGCAGAGGCAGGAATAGGGAGGGAACAAGGCACCCACACAATAAAACTGTATCCCTCTACTAGGGATCTGCACGAGCCCTTTATAAATATCAATGCCCTATCCAAACCTATTTTTGGGACTTAAATATTGGCACAACTGAAGCCAATGGTAATTTTCTTATTGACTCCAATGGGACCAGAGTTTGAACCAAGGCCTAGTTTGGGACTAAAATGGTATCAAGGTCTTCTTATTCTTACAGGAAAGTGAGGAGTTTCACCTGAAAAAACCCACCAAATAACTCCTGCTCTGCAGGACACAGTAATTCCACTCTAGTTAAGACTGGGCATACCAAGGGATACAGGTGGAAGGCTCTGATGCATTTGTTTGATGGTTTTGAGGAGCGAAGTTGTCAGAATTACCTATGTCAAGCGTATTACAGAAATAGATTTCTTGTCTTATATGTATGTATACTATATTCAGACATTTCTCTCTATGTTTTATATGCATTTTTATTTATATTAATGGCTACAACTAAGACAATTGCAGGATTAATGTTTCTGCAGCTAGAAATCTTCCAATCAAATATCTGAAGATCAGAACTTTGCATGTGAATTAACAATAAATCTTGTCCAAAAGAATGCTTTGAATTATACTAAAAACTGATTGAAAAATGTATGTCAAAATTTTTTTGGTGAAAAAAAAAATCAGTCTTTTTCTGATACACATTTTTTTAACAGAATAAAAGGTTCTTTAACAGAAAAATAGCTTATTTTCACACAGAATTTTACACAAATATTTTTGTTCCCTGTTGGCACTTGAATTTTCCATAGAAAAAAATTTTCATTCTCTGGATGGTTTTACTGCAAGGGGAGAAAAAGGCATGGTAAAGATAATTCCCCGAGTTTAGATTTTTTTTTTTTTTTTTTTTTTTTTTTTTTTTTTTCTTTCTTCTGTGATGTGGCCACCTTTCACGGAACAGGGCTCTGAGATCAGTGACTCTTCCCATGCTGGCCAGAAAACTGTCACCAGGTGGCAACAAATTTCCACTGCCATCATCCTGATTTGGATTTCAACTTGTGAAAGAGTAGTAAAAGGCTGTTACTGTCCCCTGGGCCATCCAGACACATGCTCATAGTGCAGTTTAAGGAAGAGTGCTCTGTAAAGTGCAAGTTACAATGCTTTGTAGAAGGGAGACCTAGAGAGAACTGAGACCCTTGGAGCCACATTATCATCAATGTCTGCAAAATTACAGCCCAAAATGATACCGTGAAGCCAATAAATGAATGCAAGGGGAACCATGTCTTGAAAGGCTTTGTTGGAGCAGAAGAACTTTCAAAGGGGGCTTTTGAAAACTAAAAAGCAAACGTTCAAACTTACAGCAAAACTTTCTGGAAAGACTGAACCTTATGGACAGCAGGTAAAAACCGAAGGCCAGTGTTTGATATTAACCTAAGGGGAGAGAACAGACTAAGATTATTTGCTCTGCCACAGGAAAAAACTGATAACTTAAAAAGACGAAAGAACACTCGACTTTTAAAATGGCAGCCACAAAAGACAGAGGTTAGCCACAAAAGTTGGGTTTGCCAATAGGAAACTTCACACTGTAATTTAAAAAGGTTTTTCTTCAAACTGCAAGTTGAATTCTGCCCCACTGAAGTAAAAGGAGAAACCCTACCTTGGATAATTACACAGTCCCTCCTGATGATCTCAGGAAACTTTCCATATTAATTTCCCAACTGTATTCTAAGAAATCAACTGCACTGACACAGCATAATTATTTTCATAGTAGCTGTTTTAAGACAGAAGTATCAACTCAATTACCACAATTTTAACCTTCTACTCTAATAGAGGATACATTAAGTCCATGGGAAATACCATTAATTCATGAAATTAGGAAAGAATTATGTTGCTTTATTCCCCAGCACCTCTGATAGTGAGGAACCAAACACAGGAGGATATTTCAGCAGTTTGTGCAAGCGGAAATGGACCTGAGACTCTGTTCTTGACTACCTCTACCCTCCCACTGCACTGAGCATCACGACCTCTGCATTGCAGTTCCTCTCCATGAAATACCATCCCAGAAATGCTGACTTTGAAGGATAACCCTCTGCCCACAACCAGTGAGGACACATGGTCACAGATATTCACAGAGCTGTACCATGTCTAATTTAAGAAAATTTTGTTATCCAGAGCAGTAACAAGGGCAGGACCAACATGATATTGCCATGCAGCAGGAGATGACTGGTGACAACTGATGGCTGGAAAGAGGGCTGAGTTCAGGAGGGAGGAGCTGGACCAGGCTGGACTCTGACCATGTGGGAGTTTTTCACAGACACCAAAAAGTCTCATGTTTACTCCACTAAACAAAGACAAAATTTGGATTCTTGAAAGTTTAATTATATCTTTGTGGTTTTAATATATGAGATGGTAGAGAAGGTGACCTTCCACTGAGAATATTGGTTCTTTAAGGAATATATTGATAGTATGTAGAAGGTATTTTTTATCCTGGCACTTAAAAAAAATATTTTTTCATTAATAGATGTGACTTCTGGTTTTTTTTTTTTCATAATCATTCCTGAAATAGTTGAATTGTAACAGAAAGGACTGGCTGAGAGTGGAAAAATGTAACATCATTCATCTGATGTTTTTTATGAACCTAGATTATTTCAGGAGAGTTGCAGTCTTTCAGGTTTCATAATCTGAACTGAAACTGAACGCCTGTATGTGACAACCAAATCCTACATTTGGGAACTCAGGATGACACATAGGTCCATAAAATAGTCATTCACTGGCATAAGTACTGCTCTGAGCTCCCTGAGATGGTATCTGGGTATCTTTGGATGCTGAAAAGCCAACTTTGATCTGTCTCATCTTATAACAGAAAGCAATACTTTACATGCAGGGAAAAATTAAAGTGGTGTAGTGAATATTCAAGAAGCCAATTTGGGAAAGTTGCTGAAATGTCATGACTATTTCGTCTCAGGAGTCAGGATGGTCTGACATTGCATTAGCTTAAAAATAACAGCTGTCATATGTGACCAAGAAAGCTTAGCAAAAATGCCTTTGAAAAATTATTACATACAGTTAAATAGAAAGCATGATTAATGAAGCAGGTGCATTACACAAGGCCCTTATTACTTAAAGCACTTCTGCACTTACACTTTATAAAAGGAGTTCACCAAAAAAAATTAGAAGCAATAGGAGAAGAATCTCTAACTCCTCCTTACAGTACTTTAAAATACATTCTTTAAATTACTGGAGATATACAAGATTTTAGTTGAAAGCTGCCTTTAATTTTAAATGAGTCATACATTAAAAATTGATGCAATTCTTTTAAAAGGCCCTTTTAAATACAAATCACGGCATGCATTTCCTTTAGTGGGTAAATGAAGAAGGAAACTGCCGTCAAGTAGTGTGTGGCTATCGCAGGACAGAGGAAAAGACATCAGAAGCTTTCCCGACAAAATGTCAGTCCTCATGGTGTAGCAATGAAAGGTGACAGTATTCTAACATATGCTATTCAAACACTGCTCCCAATGGCAACTTCCTCCCAGCATATCAAAATTCTAAATTGGTTAGCAGGGCTTTCACCATACATGTGTGAAAAAAACATCCTCAATGCCTTGGGTTAATTCTGATCTTTCCAGTATTTCCAAAGTGTTCAGGGCTCAATTTTCACTGGTGTCAACTGAGCAGCATGAGATGAAGAAGAAAGCATCTTTGTCAAATCATTACATATTGAAGTAAATCTACAGGTGGCACAAGGCACTTGATTGCACAGAAGTGCGGAATGGTGATTAGGAGCAGGAGAGGATGTTCTTTTAATTAAATGCAGTAGAAGAACTAAAAAAATATTTAGCTAGACTGCAGCCTAGATCTTCCCTGTCTTTTTATTCAACCAGCAAATCTCCAGAGGCCTTTAAGTGGATAATCTTTTTAGAATGCAGATAATACAATTTACTGAATATCTTTCCTGCAGGACAGCTTTGTCAATATATTTACCATATAATGTATACCTCCTTAGTAGCCTCACTTTAAACAAGTGTGTTCTTTAATCTGTGTTACAACTGAGTCCCCCCTTGCCATGCATAAACAGCTTTGTAAGAACCTATTTTTTTCAGGCGGCTGATGGCTTCTTTCCAAAGCATTAATTGTCTTTCTGAAAAGGCTTACTGGAGTCAGCACTTAAGAAAACACAGCACCACGATCAGCAGAGAAAAAAAAAATCTTTCCGAAACTAATTCCTGGAAGATTCTGACTGCTTATCTCCAGATATAGCAACACGTCTGCTCTTTTTTATGCCAAATTGTAGGAGCTGTTCTGACAAATCTGGGAACACAGTTTACCTCATCAATTTACTGTGGGTATTTGCTAAATTGCAAACTCAAGGTAGGCAGAGATAAATACAACATCACTCAGGAAGCATTATTTTTGTGTCTCTTAATCACACTGGTTACTTCATGCTGCATATGAGTCTGATTCCAGCAAGACATTCCTCTGACTCTCTTACCCCAGGCTCCTTAAATCTGCAACATCCACTTCTGGTGGAAGGTCTTTAACCATGAAGCTGCCATGCAAAAGGAAGGACTGGAGCTTCACTTCTCTTTATTTAAAAGTCAACTCCATGCAAAGGATCAGTAATTATGTGGACTTTGCTGCATCTGCAGCAAGCACAGGTTTGGGTTTAGGAAGCATGTCAGATACACATGTGTCAGATCCTCCATGAAATAAGACCAGGCAGGTACAAGCAGCTGCAAGACTTTGGAGGGTTCTGCAAAAGGGCTCTGCTCCTTTTGCAGATAAAACACATGGCTTGGCAACCTACATTTCCTCTCCACTCCAACAACTCAGCTCATGGTCTCAAAGTTCACCTGAAAGGAGTGTTGCATTTAAGTCTTTCTGTTGTAAACTGAGATTGCTTAATACAGAATGTCAATGTCCCTCTAAAAAAGAACCAAAGGACACAGATTACATATGAGAACTAATTTTGGAAAGAAAATGGGTTTGAAAAGCCATCACTACATTATTAAACAGACAATGCTACAGGTCTCCTTAATGAGAGCCAGATAAATAATCTTGTACCAATGAAAAGGTTAGTAAGTTACCATTTTGAAGCAGTCTGTCCCTCTGGCATATACCCTAGAAGACCAATTAGCAATTCTCTTCACTCCTTCTAAAAGACTGGTGAGAAAGTTAAAGTTGTATGTTTCTAGAAGGTTTAGGCTATTCAGCATGGCATTTTTTCAGTATTTTTCTCTCCTTAGTGTTTTTGCCATACTAGTAATGATGAGGTGCAGGAGACAAAGGGAGTGGGGTGAGCAGGAAATGTATTTGTACCAAAGGTGACGGAGATAAAAGCATATTAATGTTCAACAGCTGGTGGCTGTAACAAGCCCATGAAGCTTGAGAGGATGACAGTGCTATCCTGAGCTTCCTGCCTGCCCATAAATAAGGCCTAGTGGCTATACAACTATTTTTAAAGAAGCACAGAGAAAGCCTTGCAAGCAATGCAAGGAACTGATGGGCTGTGGTACTTGGGCTCAGTCTTGGCACTAAGACTGATTAGTTTTAGTCTCTGTGTTTTTATATGAAAACTGTCAGTAAATAGATACTTTTCTGGAAGATTTTTCCCAGTTGTGTTTTGACAGTTCTCTCACAGTCGCAGCACTGTGTAAGGAATCAGACCATGTGTCTTGTACTCTGCCAGACTGCCATCATAGCTGGACACTTCAGCAGAATCACAATGATCCAAAAGTGGGCAGGTACACAAGTCTCCGTGCTTTGTCATGCTGGTTGCAACTGGGTCTGACTATACCTCCTTACATGGTCAGACAGAATCTCCTAATCTGTTTTGTGACAAGATATTGATGAAACCATGTCCTACTCCTAACTTCCAGCAATTAATGTGAAAATTAGGCTGTAACGTACAAGGGTTTACAAGTTTTCTTTCATGGCCTTAAAATTTTTATCATTTCTGCAATAGCTGTTGATGGCTTTTCTATCCACATAGATGCTTAACCCATTTCTGAATTATTTTTAAATTATAGTCCCACATGTCTACTATCTTTTAGTTCTGTATTGTATAAAAAACCCCAGCCAACCACCACAAAAAACCCCAACTCAAACCAAAACAAAAACTAACTGAACTGAAAAATCATCAATCCATTTACTCCCTCAGCATCTTACCTTATATTTTCACAAACTGGCCCTTCCTTGCATGTCATAGGAAGGTGACTACAAGGACCGAGTTACCTTTACCAGATGCTGTTTTACAGCCTTCCATCAAGGTTTCTGCTTTCTCATTAAATTAACTATCCTATTCTTTCAAACAGTAAAGCTTTCTGCCTTTTCAGTTTCTAAAAGGGCAAGCACTAGTGAATGAAACCAGGGGATGGAGAAAATGGCAACCTTTCCTACAGAAATGTGCCAAGAGAGAACATGAAGGTGTGGCTGTAGAAAGAGAGAGTGATCTGAGCATGATGTAACTCAGCATCACACCTGGGCCCCGCTGCTACCTAGAAGGCTCCAAAAGGGACTTTGTGTCCTGCTCCTGGTCCCTGTGGTGAGAAATGATGTGGCTCCACTGAAGCCAGCAGTGTTGCACTGATTTGTATGCCCAGAACAGCTTCCACAAATTAGCACAACACCTACATTCATCTGCTCAGAAGCTCTGGGCCATGAAGCCTGCACCTTTTGTACTGTTTATAGTCATACAAGACTGGGGGGTTTTGCCTCCTAAAAGGTAGGCACAGCGGGAATGCAGCATAAATCCATTAGTGGAGTAAACACCAAAGATGAATTTTCTGAGCATAAATTAGAGAAAAGCTTTGGTATGGGAATTAATGTGAATTAAGTGTTCATGTATAAAATTAAAGCAAATGTTTTAGTCACAAAATCATTGAGTTTCTGGAAAAGCCTCTTCCAGAAAAAAAAGAAGAAAGCAGGGAACAGTGAAGAGCATCCAGAATGTCAATAAATAGCACTTAATTATTGGGATATATGAAGTGGATCTAGGACAAAATAGAATACAGTAGTGTGGAGAGTCTCTTCCAGCCCTGTATGCCCACAAGAGAAAAAAGCTTAAAACCTACTCAAAATACATTTCCCTCTCATAACAGCTAGCAAATAAAGCTAGACAAAGAGGAGAGGGGAATGGTCAGGTAGACAAGCAATCCTCTGTATTTTTAATCTGTTGCTTCTGTAGGCCATAGTATTGCTGTTGCAGCTGAATTTTTATACAGGTAGAATCTCTGAATATTTGAGTCAACATGTGTGGGAGTGTGCAAATGACAAATGTTCAAAAGAGGCAAGAACCACTAAAGTCAAGAGAAAAACTTTCACTACTTCAGGTATTTAAAGAGGAAATTTACCTTCTCTTCATGAGCTATGATTTCTGTGTCCCACATTTAAAACAACCACTGAAATTGGTGTGTTCATTAGTGTGTTCACATTTTTTCTTCTTCAATTTTGTATGAGAGAAATGTATTCTCATTCTTTCTACTCATCTGTACATCCAACAACTGTACTACACATAGCAGCTTGCTCTGGGCATTTTACATGGGATAAACAAATGCTGTGGTTTCATTCATAGGTAGACAGACCTACCCAAAGACAGTGGTCAGTGCTAAATGACTCAGGCTTGAAATGAGATGAAATAGGCATATGATTTCTCCTCATGAAAATGCAAACTTAAAGCTTTATTTCCCTACTGTCAAGAGAAAATCTGTGTTTCAGTTATGCACACAGAAAAGTTAATCAAGGTGCCTGATGAATTTGGTAAAACAGAAATCAGTCAAAAATCTGTGGAGAGCGACAATCCTACTACAACTCTAATCACATATTCTGGTTCAATGAGGGTTTAAACTGTAATGGTTCGTGTAGTGCTAAATACACCTTATCTCCCAAAGTCCAAATCTTAAATCTCAAATCTTATAGTACAAATTCAAAGCAATGCCTCTTGGCCTTTTTTAGCCCAGAACCTGTCAGATACTAGTGATTTTCAAAGACTTTATATAGCCATTAACTTACTTGGAGCTATGCCTATTAGACCACTGACCTGATTTCATACTGTCTTTAAGAAATATCTAAGCAGACAACTAAACACTTATTTTTATGTACTGAAATGTAGAAATCATTACCAGGTTTCTTAGATGAGTAAGGAAAATAAAGCTTCTTGTATGAGTAAAGTTTCTTGTGTGAGTCAGGAAAATACGAAGGGGTGTATGTGGTCAGGTGGACAGCCACACAAAAGTTAAGTTGATATCCTGCTGGGTGCATATGCCTTTGGTCACCAAACAGCACCACTTAAGCTGTTTAAGCTATGACCATTAAAACTCATTACTATTAAATGGAGTTCATTGGACTTCACTGGGGTTTCAATGCAGAGGAGAGATTATTAGTCATGTTAAAAACATGTGCCAAAAGCTGTGAAAATATATTTGAGTAACAGTTTATTTTAAGGATGCATTCAATTATCACTGAATTTTGATGGCAACCCCATGGAAGTAGATGTGGCAACCGTAGTTGCACAAATGACTCAGTGAGGCTGGTTGATGAAATAAAGCTATACCATACATCAATATATTTGTATTTTAGGGATTTAATCATCTCACATCAAGCATTAATGAAAACTGCTGCTACAGCACTGCCTTTGTTAAAGAAATAGGAATTTGAATGCTTAAGACCATGTGTATGACACGTAACAGAGGGCAGTAACATGGTAAAGACAGATGAGAGAAATTTTTTGTCCCAAAGCTCTCAGGAGGAATTTCAACTTTAATCTGTTTCTATAGACATAAAATGGTCCAGCTCCTCTTCTCATCACTCAGTTCCAACCTGTTGCTTAGAAAGGCTTGAGGAACTTGTGTGTGGGACTACTCCTTGGAACCTATTCAGCTTTTCTGAGGACTACAGACATGAAAACGTGGGTTGACAATATGCAACTAGTAGCAAGGAAAGGGCATTATCCTGTCTTATCACCGAAAGTGCTCAGCACAGAAACACGTGTGCCATTCAAAGTGACCATAGTACTTGCAAGAAGCAAAAGATCTTACAAATATCTGAGGCTTGGAAGGTGTTGGAAGGCATCTGCATCAATGTACACAAGGTTGTTGGCTTTCTCAATTCTTCTGCAAAGAGGAAATGAAACATCAGAGAAAATATATCAATATATTGATGTTAAAATTGTGTTTGTCCTGTGATGTAGTGGAATTATATGCCAAGATTTTCTTTTTGACAGCAGAAGATCTGCATGATTTCAAAGAGCAGCCTACCACAGACTGGCAGACCCCACCACCTTTTGATACTGGTAGTGGTCTGAAGATAAGTTTTAGGTTGACCAGGTAAAAAAAAAAGGACAGTTCAATAAGAAGATGGAAAAGACAAAGGCAGATTTCAAATGCTTCTATATCGCTATGAATTCTTCTGTGCTTACCTGAACCAAACTGCAAAACCTTTGATATGCCTATAATGAATCTTTATAATTGTCTCCTGTGCATTTAGATTGCTCATTACTTACATTTCATGTAGTTTGGGAAGGTTGGAAAACGCATTTGCTTCTATGACCTCCAAGGCATCATTCTGTGAGATCTCTCTGAAAAATAATTTAGAAGCCAAGATATTTCAAGCCATGGTGAAGCAGAGAATGGACAAGTTAAAAATTCAATAGAAATTTATTTTTAAACCCAAGATAGATATCAGATAACAAAACAGACCCCAGAAACACTGCTGAATACTGCCATGTCAAAAACAATATTCAGGAATGGACATCGTCTGAGACTGAAGTTTGTATCTGTAGTGGCAGCTCTGCACCTCCTGCTGCCACCATTCCCTGTGCATTAGAAATCAGGCCCCATCCACCATGGGTTTCTGGATCTCTGAAATTACAAAATACTAAAAGAAATTTAAGGAAACCTTTCAACTCAGTGAAGAAAATAGGGGATGAAGGTGACTGAAATAAAGACAGCTAAAAAGTTCCCTAGAAATATGACACAACTTCAGGAACAAGACACTGCTGTCTAGACCCAATGTGAAGTACAGAGATTAAATCTAAGCCACCAGCAGATGTGCCCTATTAACAGGAGCTGGAGACCACAGACATGAAGAATTCTTTCACACCTTGAAGAAAAAACTATTTGATCTCATCTGTACAGAGTTAATGCCCACTTACAGTCGCAGAACTGCAGAATATAAATGGCCAGTTTACTGTTATCAACACACTAGAATGCATCTCCTGCTAGTCCAGAGTGCACATTTCTTTGCTTCCTTAATCTGTGGGATGGCAAAGAGAGGTCTCAGGCTCTGATGTAATTTAGAGCTCAGGAGCTCTCCTGGTGAACCAAGTGGGCCTTACTGCAGGGCAACCTGTCCCAGTTACATCCCTTATGCTGGCACTGACCAGGAAGGTCAAGGTAAAGACAGCTATACCAGAAGATTCCCCACTGCTGTTTTTTTGGAAATGGTGCAAAAATGCTATTTTCCCAGGCTGAGGTCAGCTGCAGGAAGTAAAATTTGTAATACAGATGTAATTTAGTGGTGGTGTGATGGCCTCCTGGATTTTAATGGCAAGGTAACTGTGCACATCTTTGGAATGAAACCTTGGATAAATAGTAAGATTGCAAACTGGACGACACTTGTTCCTGGATACCTTGTTCTTTTGAAATGATGATGGTTGCAAACAGATTCAAATAAGCCTGAGGTAAAACAACAGATTGTAATGTCAAGTGCACGGTCAAAAAATAATCACAAAAATTATTATGAGGAATATAAAAAGTATTCTACTCCCTTCAAAGTAACAACTGAACCATACCTGACAAATTACTAGCCCATTTAAGACAAACAAAAACCTTGTAAAAGAAGATAAGTTTTCCATCTGACCTGTTCCATTTTAATACATCCCAGTGGTTTAATATTTTAGTTTAATAATATTTTTTTAGTTTAATAAGAAACTTTCCCTCCAGTTTCCTCAAGGTTTTTTTAAGGAAGAAATCCATCTCTCTTCCACTCCAGGAGCTCTAAACTGACTGGAGAATAAAATAATAAAAGTACATGAGGACTGATAATAGGTGCTTGGTAGGGTGCAATGAGACCTGAATTTGTTTAGCAGTGTTGAACCACCTGCTCACATGTGAATATGTTCCTCTTTATTATTTAATTTTCATCAGCAACAAAATGCTTCAACTGAGACAGGGATTCCTTCACACCACGCGAGGTACACAGCCATTGCAAGGGATATCTCAAAAACTTTTTATTATCTTCCTGTTTTCTTTAAAAATAATGCATTATAAAATATTTGTAGAAATATCTAGAAGAATAGAATAGAAGCTTTCATCCCCTACGATGTATTGATATGACAGTACACAATTCACTTGCCTAACTACAATCTAGAAGATGTAACAACGTGGCAGGTGTCTCATACTTTTAAGATTTGGTTTGGTTTTGCTTGTGCTCTTTTTGGGTGGGCAGCAGTATGTGTGCCATTCCCCACAATCCAAAAAACCAGTTGTCTTGAAAAAAAAAGAAAACCGTCAGAAAAAGTAGAACATTTAATGCTAACAAATCCATTTAGCCAGAAGAGATTTCACCCCACTAAGCAGTTCAGGGAAAAATGTTGCAAATTTGTTGGCCTTATACAGGGAAAAAAAGGTTATTAAGAAACCATAATACAGCAGTGACCTCACCCAGCAGATAGTGCTGTTGAGGGTAATAATTTTTTATGATCCAATCTGCTATCTAACTTTGGAACAACTTGGATGACATATCTCTTTTAATGGACTGCTTAAAAATGAATGTTTCTGCATCAGGAGATTGTGTTGGCTTCCTAAGAGTTGGACAGGTTATTGACTTTGTTTCTATTCAAGAAATGGAAGATACAGATCAGATTAAGGTAGGGCACAAGCAGACCATGACACTTTGGAAGGCTTGGAGAATGCATGGTTAAGGAAAAGAATGAAGAGAGTTAGGAAGATAGGAACCTCTAAACTGTTTTTGAAGGATAAGGTTTTTTAAATATTAAGTTTCTTACAGATTAGATTTAAACAGAATTAAATAAGACTCCCATGTGGGGCTGTTTCAGAGATTTGGTAAATGATTTAGCTTTCATTCTAACATTCCAATTCACAGTTACAAAGGTGAGAGTTTGGGGTTTTTTTAAGAGGAATGAAAATACATCCATTTACAATGACTTTTTTTGTGTTCCACCTCAAGCGAATCACTGCTGCAGCTGCTGAGGTTATGAGCATCTCAAGATCAGTAAAAGGAACAAAAGGGAAACTTGTCAATGGCAGAAGGCAGTGACTCTTCTGGTGCTGGGTTTCATCCTTTATGTTCAGGGGATTGCAGGGATGAGGGAAAAGGACAAGACTCTCTGTCCCCTGTAATGAACTGTGCACCCTCTTCTACACTCTCCCCAGGAAATCCTTACTCATCATCGTTCTTTGCAGATGAATCCCAGTTTACAGTAATAAAGTGCTGTTTTCTGACAGAAGGCCATTGCTATTCCTGTCCTTTCGGCTGCACATATATCTGCCAAGGCTGTCATTCAGGTAAGAAGGATGAATAAAATAAAACCATTCTGTTTAGGAGATCAGTCACACACTGTGGACAATAGGTAACACTAATCTGGGTCTTGGTTGCACAATTTGCATGAACAATTTATTCATAGCTGGTAAAAAAATGCCCATCTGCTCATGGAAAACCCAAAGAACACCATCTTGGATACAGGTATCTATGGCACTAAGAGTACAAACCACTGCTGCTCACATCAAACAGCCAACTCAGCAGACTCAGATCCTCTGCAGAGGAGAGCAAATAATACCTGTGGCAGTAGCTACAAACAGAAAAAAGGGATTGCTGGCTAGTGTTTGAACAAGTGATTTGTCTTACAGTATAAATACACACAAACAGATGATTGCTCATAATGTATGTCTTATTATGTGTCATCAAGAGAGAAGATAGGACTGTTATTATGTTGTTTGTTTGTAATGAATGATACTATTAGCTCTACTGCTAGCTATCGCAGGAAATCCAGCCCGGCAATTTGAGCATCATTTCTGATACAGACAAGCCTTTGAATGGATGGTATGCAAAACAATCAGGGGCAATTTCTCAAAAAACCCCAAATCTCCAAACCACCCAGTGCTTGCAAAGTGCTTAGGTATCTGCCTGAGCTTAGTTTTCACTGCATCCACAGTCATATTGATATCAACAGTGATCCTTGAAAGCATAAATTGTTTACTCAAACACATCCTAAAAGAGAAAAAAGTATTCAGTAAAAACATTTTACAAAGGCACAAAGGACAATTGTTTTTATTTTTCTGTAAAGAGGATGTAAGGTTAAGATGTGATATCACATGACTAAAGGATCTCCCCTAGCTCACCACTAAAGTAGCAAACTGGAATCATTGTTACCTATTCGCCAGCAACTGACTGCAGTGTAGCATTTCCGTGTGACAGCCAGAGCCTCTGACAGCAGGGAGAGAGATGGAAAACTGTTTAACCTGCCTGCAAATCTGCCATAAGGCTGGGCTGGGCATGCATTTTCATGACATCTCTGACAGAGTCCTGTGTGACACATAGGAAGTACTCTTCTTCAAACCAGCTGCACTCAGAGCATGACCCATAAAAATCAAGCTACATTGAAATGGCCTTTTAAACAATCCTGGTAGTGAGGAACTTATAGTTCCTGGCAGTTTCTTTGTAGTCCACTAAAGACAAAGTCTCTTAGACTAATCAAAGTCTTACAGCAAAAGCAAGACTGTATTAAACTCACAAACTAATGATCTTGTAGCCAGGTGTTCTTATATTTCAAAGTAAGGAAAGAATAAAAGATGGGAAATTTATGTCTTTTATGATAAGAATTCCTTTCAGGATCAGAGCAGACCATACAGACAAAGTCATTTTCTTCCCTTCTAGTAAACATGTCTATTTTAAAAAATGTGTGTATCTGTGTGTGTGTACGTACACATACAAAAGGTTAACGTAGATGAGTAAGTGGTAACTTGTGTCAGAAGTGACATGGCACATGATGTGAAGGAGGGATATCCCCTCTCCAGTTACAAAGCCCTACTCTGTAGTGCTGGAAGTGACCCACTCTCTATAAACTTGTGTAGTCTTCCTCAACCTCCCTTCCAGAGCAGGTACATACATAGGCTAAATTGGTGATCTGTTCACCTTATGTTTCCCGTGATACATTACAATTGTGTCTTTTGGCCTTTTAACCTCACCCTTTGAGGCAGTTTCTTGCGGCATAACTATCCTGTGGATTCCTGTGAACAGTTTTTTTCACTCTGTAGGTACTTGCAATCAGCAGTGATACTGGAGGTATCAGATACTGACTCCCAGAGCAGGCAGCCTCCCTGCTCTCTGCACTTTTACAAATCAATAGCATTGTGTTCATTTAAGGGAAAAAGGAAGAAAAAAAAAAAGCCAACAATGCTTATTTCCCCTCCCTCCGCCCCCTTTCCATAAATATAAATACTCTTTAGAGTTATTTACCAGATCACTTTTACTCAGTGGTTTGACTAATGCCACAATTTATGTCAAGCTTAAGAAGTAAATAGCAGTAGTGTGGTGTCACCCAGGCAATCCTGCCCA